AGGATGTGCCGCCACCCACAGATTTATGGAAGTGGGGTGGCGCCATCGGCGCATGGATACACAGCCCTGCGCAGGTAGACGCCCTGAACCCTAAACCCTAAACCCGCACCCCTAATTTTTGAATTGTTGGCGTGGCCTGCGCATGCACTGGACCCGTGCAACTTCGAGGGCTCCTGCCATCGCCCCCAAACATCAGTCTCTAGCTGATAAGAGGTTATATAGGGGGGTAATATGGAGATACAGGGGTTATATAGGGGCAAAATAGAGACATAGGGATATAGGGCTGATATAGGGGTTATTTAAGGTTTAGGGTTTAGGGTTTAGGGGTTTAGGGGTTTAGGGGTTTAGGGGTTGAGAGTTTAGGGGTTTAAGGTTGAGGGTTTAGGGGTATGTTTTATGCTTGAACCTGGTAAGGTTATGCTCTTCTAGCATAAGCTGCAAGGAAAGGGAGGATGTAATCTTGTTCCATATTTGGGACTACACTGGTGTAAAGAGGTTCCATGGCCCATGTGTTCCAGCAGCCCCGCCCCTACCCTAAGCAACCACCAGTGCACGCAGAGCTAGCAACAAAACTGCAGGTGCAGCACGTGGTGGTGCTGAACTGGGAGCGCTGAACCGTAAGGGCCCGCAGCGGGATCAGGTGATCTTCTGGACTGCAAACGCAGATGGCACAAGATCGCTTCAGGAGTTTCTCAGCTGTAACTTCTTCCCCCTGCGGCACTCGTGGCTTGCTTATTCTTGATCACTTGAGAGTGAGAATCAAGCCATGGCCAGCGAAAGCTATCCTCAAGAATGCGTAACACCCCATATCAAAAACACTATGCTACAGTATCAATTCAGCCCCGGTGGCCTTATCTTATGAAACTTTCAATCCCATTCTCACTCCAAAACTGTGCTTTCCTCTGAACCGTTCAATTCCACTCAGGTCCCCGCGCTGGCCATTCTAGTGTTATCGTTCGTACACTGCTTTCCGGACCACGGCTGCATAGATTTCATGAGATGCTTCTGTGCCAGAGATGATGCGCCATTGAGAGAAAGTGGCACA